CATCCAAACATCGGGCACTATTTCTTCGATCATGCGCACATCCAACTCACGATCCTCGTCGACCTGGACCAACACCTCGACTACGAACATCTCTTCATCCATGTTGCCCTCCTTGTGCGTCGCGTTGCGGCTTTCTTCAAACATGGTCTCGCTTGCAACATCGATTATCTCAACTAGCTCGGGCTTATCCTCCCCTTCGATCTCGACCAAGACTTCACCCTGGACATCGATCGCTTCTTCCTTCACGCACGTCTCTTCGCCAAGGCCCTCTTCATCCACGAGCAAGATCTCTTCCTCGACCTCGACCACTTCGGCTTCTTGCTCGCACGATTCTGTAAACTTCTCATCAGCCTCGGCTTGTTGCTCTTCCTCCCTGATTTTGAGTTGTCTTTCATACTCCTCCTTTTGCTCGTACATCTCCTCCAAATAATCTTGCTCCCAAGGGGTTAATTCCCTCTCCAAATTTTCGAGATATTCGAGATCCTCCCAATCGCACTCAACTAGTGGCTCAAACATCATGGTTCTCTCTTTTTTTTTATGACTCTAAGAATAAAAATTCGAACAAAATTCGAACCAAAAAGAAAAATAAAACAAAGAGAAATTCGGCCCCTCAACAAAAGGTAATTACCGAAATAAAAATCAAACAAAGGACTAACAAGATGACACTTTTTTTTTAAGACTTTCGAAAATAATTGAAAAATTCGAACAAGAATTTCGAAAAATTTCGAACAAAAATAAACAAAAATTCGGTCCCCTCAGCAAAAGGCAAAACTGAAAAAAGAAAAAAGATAGATAGATAAGAACACGATCAGCACCTTTCAATGAAAGCACCAATGATGACGGATCATGTTTTTATCTATACGTGGGTTGTGAATAAACGCGCACTAGGGCCTTCGTTTATCCACGATAGGTGTATCTAACAGACGCACTCAGGGCCTTCTCCTAGATACTGTGACTTCAAGATGCACTAACGGCCTTCTCTCCGACACTGTATGTAAACACGCACT